TGCTGTGCTGTGTTGCATAGCTGTACTGAGGGTTAATGATGACCTCTTCAGTAGTATTGGTGCTATTGATGGAGCCTGTACAAATTGGAAGAAAGCTTTCTTCCTCCACTTCCCCAGGCTGTGGTGCAGAAGAACTCGGGGACAGCACCTCGCTCTCTATTGGAGGATCCAAGAAACTAACCGAGGCAGTCGTTGTCATTCCAGCCTTCTTCAGTGGTGGTATTGGCACGCCATTAGGTTCTTTATCTTTCCCCATGATCTCTGTAACAGACTGGTAGTGAGGATTGATGGATACTGAGAGGTAATCAGAGCTATCAGACGAAGAGCAGCCATCTGAGTAGCCTGCTATACGAATGTCCTTCCGTATGTAGGATTATTGACGGGACTGGAAATCTCAGTGAATGTCATCTCCGACCATCACAATTCCAAGACAGGCAGATAGACTGAGAGCGGTAGCTCTCTTCTCTTAGCTACAAGCGTACAATTGTATGGTATGCTGCAACAGAAACACCTCATACAGTAAATTAATATTTACGCCCACAGCTTTTAGTGGCCTAGGGTCTTTGCATGTGTACAGCATGATATAACAGCAATGATACTCTGAATTACATTAATATACTAAAGAACAATGGTGCAGTGCTTGTAAAATAATGAATAATGCTCATGGTTTATGATAAACTATAATGTAGTGCTGTAATGGATAAGGTTTGGCGGACATCAAGCGTAAGTGTTGCACTAGAAATTTTACTCATTGACACATTAAACGAAAACAAACAGCTGGGAACATACATAAAATCAATAGAATAATTCATAAGCAATTATAATTAACACACACACACATAATAAGTTTATAATGGAGTGGTTGTTTATGAAATACTATGGTTCTGTCTTCATGGTATGATGATCATCACATTCTCAAAGTTACTGCTAACAGGACATCGGGAACGAAAGACTGAACAATAGACATCAGTAACCCTTGCAGCACCATTATAGAGAGGCACCAAAGCACAATCACATCTAACTTTCGACTTTGTTAATCTAACAGATGCAGAGTCACCTGATTCAATAGTCTCTCCTGAACGTGCTGTCATCCTTAGGTTAGTAAGAGGAGCAAAAAGTGAAGCATTACTTCCTGACACTTCAATATGGCAGGCAAGATCTAAATTATAATAGCCCTAATAATAATAATAATTATTATTATAAACTAATATATTATAATTAATATAATATAATATACTTAATGACTATTAATAGTAACACAGCAAACAGTCTCACAATTAATAAATGAAACAGGCTGTTGGGATAATAACTATTAATAATAATAATAATTCAATAACAACTAATAATAATAATAATAACAAAAAGAATTAAATGAATAAATAAAAAATAAAATAAAATAAAATAAAATAAAAAATAATAATAACAATAACAATAACAATAATGATAATAACAATAACAAGTCAGAACGGAGACAAAGACAAAGAGCCTGAATGCAAGGCATCAGTGATGAGGGCTGCGTTACCTCGTTGAATGGCAACTGATAAGCGTTGCATTAAATATTGACCAGCATTCACATCCCCCGAATAAATTATTATTATTATAATTATAACAATAACAATTTATGCAGGTCTATGAAGCTAGACGTTGCTGCACAAATATAATAAAATACTATAATAACACTCACATCTACAATGACATCGTGATAGTCAGTTGTACAATAAAATACATTAGTAGGCATAGAGCAGTTAGATAGGTACTCATAGACGCAAGAGCTATACACACCCACATTCCTCATCTCAGCATCAAACATTAATCCAGCAATAGAGACATTTTGAGCCGTCAAGTTGGCCAGGGCTTCATAGCAAGTTGAATTAACATCAGAGACGGTACTATTGATGAATGAGGACTGAGAGGCTAATGACTGGTCAGTATTGTTATTCTGTATATAGAGAAAAGAATAGAATTAAGTATTGGTTGTTAATATAATTATCATTATTATTGTTACTTACATTCTTTTCAATCACAGTAATGACAGAAGTAATATCTTTTAATAGCTCTGTCAGATTGGCTGCATCTTGCTTTATAGTAAGTAGGAGGAATAAGGGGAATTGACATTTCATCAGAAAGGAAATACAATGTATCACAAGTTGTGGTTAAATCTCTCTACCTCTTCTCATACTCAAAGACTCCACATTTATTATCATAATCAATATTTGAGAAGTAGGTATGATGGTGGATATATGAGCCAATATGCAATTACAAATAGTGCTAGCCTGTACAGGGAAGCTAAGGGATATGTATAACATCTGTTATCTGTTACATATGAATGCTAGCAGTTCACATGTTACAAGCATGCACCAATAGAGTGATTGTAAATACTACCTTACCTCAATTTGTGCTTTAATTGGAGACACATCTGGAGCTGGAAAGAGAAAGAGAAAAAGAAAGAGGGGGGGAGAGAATAGAAAGAAAGGAGGAAGAAAGCAGGGAAAGACCACTAATAATTAATTGCTAAAACCACAAAACTTAAAAAAAATATTCATTCTTTAAATTGCTGAGACAGCAAACAACACAGACACTACATGCATAGATAACTACAGTCATGAAGCTGCTCATTGTAACTAGCCAACTTGAATTACAAACCTTACAAGGTTTACATGTGCTAAAAGAACGCTAAGGATAAGAAAAGGGGTGGAACAATACATGCATTGATGCACCTTAGATATTGGATGCATATTAAACCACAGAGCATGTACATGTACATGAACATAAAACCCAAGATGAAACTATAACTAGTAATGAGAGAATCTACCACAAAGTATGATAAGGGATTGTAACAACAAATTACTCATGTCATGGAGTTGTGATTTATCCTTATACCTTACAGCAAACCAATCAAGACAAAATACAACAATTACTGATTACATAATCATTACATAATTAACTCACTAGGGCAGAGACATTGTGAAAGAGAAGGTGAGGGTACAATTGACATATAAGCTCCTGTTACTGCCTCATTTGATTTTGATGCATCTAGTTTTGATGATGAACATGTTTCAGCAGTTGGCCCATAGACCCCAAACAATAACAAAAGGACCAACACCACTGCCACTATGGCGAGGAACAAGCTAATCGCGACAAAGATAGAGAGATATGTGACCCTCAGACACTTAATAGACATGTAATCAATCTTAGCTCCAAGCCTATCCCGCGAATTTATTTGTGTGCTGGTAGGATGGAGCGTATCCCCTCTTGTAGCGTACATCGCATTAAAGGTGGTCCTACGAGCCTCTGGTAAAGGAGGAGGGCACTGCTTCTCTCTCGGGATACTGTCATAGACAGGAGTATCAACTGAAGTCAGATGTCAGATCTGATTGTTAGTTTAAGAATAATTTCTAAAATAAATTGATATGGCACTTACCTAAGGACTAGAGAAAGAGAGGGAGAGGGGGGAATAAACATTACAGTAATTTTGGAATAACATAGCAAAGTAATGAAAATTACAAAATCCTAACAAAGGAATCTAATCTAACATCATAACACATCCTGGGCACTTGCATGTTTAATGCCATAATTATAAATGAATGGGGAAGGAATGGGGAGGACGAGGTGGAGCAAAAGGAATAGCACTAACATGTACATGTACATAACCAAGATTCAAGCAACATACTACCATACGTGTACATGTACAATCTAAACTGCCGGGTCTTTAATCCGATCCCATAACCCTCATGCACACTTGATACGATTACAACTAATACTTTGAATACAAGCAAACATTACTTAGACTACAATGCATGAATGCTGAAGTGACACTGTTGTGTGCTTGGAGTAGATCTATTTATTACGTGAATGTCGGCTCCATGTTGCTGCTGGTCGGACATGCTGGTCTGATTGGAGTTGAATCTTCTCAGCTCAACGTTATAGTCACACGAGGACATGATGATCCAGTGAGTGATTTAAACAAAGGACGAAACGACGAGAAACAAGAACTAAAAGGATGCTTTAATTTCTTTCTTCTATTATTGATTTTATATGCCACGTGGATCCTCCTACTCCTGAGTTATCGATTCAAATTGAATTGATACAAATGCTAGTGTTGTATTTAGTCCTAAACAAGACGATAACCTGAGTAGCCCCAGTGCTAACTCACACACACTTTCTCTCTCTTTTGCTGTAATTCACCAAATTAGTCTTTGTAAAGGTAAGCCAATAGATTCCGGGGTAATTTAATTTCTACGAATAATGCGGAATAAACAAAATTATTATTTTTGTTATTATTGTTATAATTGTCATGGTCTTTCTTTATTTTCCTTTTCTTTGTCTTATTTATTTTCCTCCCCGGTACTCTGAATTGCACCTCAGTTTACCCTCAGTGCTGCTACTTTCATTTTCTTGAACTCTGCCTCTATCCATTTATGTGTACTGTAAATTTCTAAAATAAATAAATAAATAACTGTATCCTCGACAATTTTTGGCAAATCCATTACCTCCTCCCAATGTTTTTCATGTACTCATACATGTACATGTACATCTATTCTACAAATGTATGTACTGTATGTATATACATGTATGTGTGTAATATACATGTACGTATATGTGTATATTATTTAATGAAATGTTATTTATTTATGATAATTATTTTCCTTATTGTAGTATGTATAGGCTGTTATCTGAGGAGAAGGATGACTCATTTTAGAAGACGATTGAAGATGTGGCCAATAAACTCTTCCTTGTTCCTTGTCTATACCTGAAGGTCTACTGCATGTTATTAGTAAGGGAGGGAGAGAGGGAAGGAGAGAGTGAGAGGGGGAGAGAGGAAGAGGGATGGATGGGAGAGAGGGGGGAGAGAGAGGGAGGGATGGAAGGAGGGAGAGAGAGGGGGGAGAGAAGAGGAATAAAGAACGAAGAAGGAAGAGTGAAATAGAAGAAGTTATATATTCTATTCATTGTTCTACTAGGAAGCAACTCCATGCACCTGGTTTTCATCACCAACAATCATTATGCCACCTAGAGGAGGTTAACATACATGTACATTGTATTTGCAATAATTGTACATGTACATGTACATTCAGTTTTGGTTTCACTTCTCTTCTCTCTCTCTCTCTCTCTCTCTCTCTCTCTCTCCCTCTCTGTCTTCTCCTCCCCCCTTTCTGTCTTTCTTCCCCCCTCTCTCTCCCCTCCCTCCAGATCTTCATCTTGATGTTAGACTAAACTATTCATTCGTATGTCTCTCAGTTGATAATGTTCGCAAAGTCATTGCTGCTTTATTCAGTAAACAGACCATTGTGTTCACTTCCTCCAATTACTCCATGCCAGCATTAGTAATATCTGTATAGTATTTTGGGTAGTTGCTATCGTTTTATTTTTTTAAATACAGATCAGGATAGGAAAAGATTTAATTGGTGAGAGAAAAGCAATTGTCCCTCTTAAAGAAGATTTTTGGGGAAAGGAGTTTCATTATACACAATGAACTGATCAACAATGATGTACATGTAAGTAGATTCATTTGACTGTCTCTCTCCCACTACTACTTTTGTCTTTTATAAAAGTTCTGTGTGTTATTTGAGCTACATGCATGTACATGTAACTAAATTTAAAATTTGACGATTTAAGGACTAATAGATTGTGAGTAGCAGGTTTGGACTCAGTTACAATTGTAATCATAATTGATTGTAATTGATTACATTTTTTGATATTTATATTCATAATCATAATCAAGCAAATCCTAAAGCTTATAATCATAATAAAAATCATATGCACACATTAAGGGCATATAATCATTGCAGTAAATCATACATGTACATATGGCAAAGGATATCAAAGTTAACACACAATTATGATCATGTATCACAGCATTGAGTTACCTACTCAGTGCAGTAAATTTAACCACTACTTTTAATGGCTTTTAAGTCGAGAAATCTTATGTTTTTGGCATTTATGTTCTCAGAAGTTAAAATAAGGCACTAACTAACAAAATATTGAGCAATTGAAATGTGTCTAATCAGTGTATGATCATCATTAATTATTTATTTTAATCACGTGATAATCATGCACACATATACCGTAAATCCTCAAATAAAAGCCCAGGCGTCAATTTCTTAAAATGTCATCTCGACGTCGAAAAAAAGTGAAAAAAGAAAATAAAACTTGAGGCAACAACGGGATTCGAACTCGGGACCTCATGCAATTCTTTTCAGGATGCTTAACGAAGTATCTACAAAGAATCTGAAATACTTTTAGGCTAGATTTGCGTACTTATACTTCAATTTTATTGCTAACTCGGCGTTTCCAGCTTTTATTTGAGGATTTACGGTAATCATAATTGTAGTCATAATTATATATTTTTCCAGTAATCTATTCATAATTATTCACAAAGACATATAGGTCCAATCGTATTCGTTATTATGATCATGTGAGTGTATAATCAACACCAGCCATGGTGATTAGTTACCAGTGTAGTATTCTTTACATTATGGTAGTAGCATACATGTACATGTACTTGTTAGTTGACTAAGAAAAGCTTTAATGTATATGTATGTACTGTACATGTAAATGTATGTATTACACAAAATTGTGATGCTACACTCAATTTAGAGCAGTCTTGTTTGAGCAAAAAAGACATGCAATTAATGCAAATGTGGTTTTACGTAACATGTGGCTTTATTCCTCTATTTTGCATGTTTGCGTGTAACATTAATTTTCTAATTGAGTCATGTCACCCTTTTTATTATAGGTTGTACATATATGTATACCTGCCTATCCCTTTCTTCCATCATAATTACTTGTATACCAGCCTCTGGAAATTGTGCAATGACTTATTTGCTTTTGTTTTTATTATTTATACACAATGTACATGTACTGTAGTTATTTAGTGACTATTATTATTGTTTAATTCCTTTGATTTGTCTGCTAGAATCTCTTCCCTCCATTCCACTATTGTTTTCCATCCCTTAAAATTAACTTTATTTCTTAAGTATGATAACAGTAAAACCAAGTAATATTTGTAAAAATAAGAAATTAAATTTATCATCCACAAATAAAGTAAAACATAAATATGCACTCTTTTATAGTGAGAAATTATTAATAATTTTTCTAAATAAACTTGTAGTGATTGTTCATTAATTTTAATCAAACATTGTGTTTCTATTGTTTTTGTTTCTTGTGTTTTATTGCAAAATGAGAAAAATAAAATGTATAACAATAAAAAAATATTTATAGGTAAAATGGACAATCTCAAAGGCAAGAAGGAAAACCACATCTTTATTTTTAGTATGTATTGTAAGTCATTTTTAATTATTAATTTTATTTATAATTAATTTTTAAAATTATTGTTAAAATTATTTTAATTATTTGATTCGGTTTTTATGTATTTTTATATGATTATTTATTTATTTTATTTCATAGAAGTTATGAACAAAATTAATTAATCTTATTAAATTTTGGTTATTAGTTAGTTATTAATAGTTATAAATAACATTACCAGTCAATAAAGGGGTGTTAAACAGCTCTTTTAACAGAACAACACCAGGCTAGATAGATTCAACACCCTAATTATAAACAACACCCAAATTTGTTACACCCACGAGTGTATATAGACACTTCTATCACAGCTTGCAACATATCAACACCTCTTTCAACAGAGCAACACCTCTTTCAATAGAACAACACCAAGCTAGATTGATTCAACACCCCAATAGTAAACAACACCCAAATTTGTGACACCCACGAGTGTACACCAACACCTCAGTTTTAACAGTGTAGGTCAACAGGGCTTGGACCTGGCCACAATAAAACTTACCTCTCAGGCGTGCAACAGGGTGAGATCGCAGAAAGTCTTTCAGACCACACTATTCATAATATGCCACGCCTGCACCAAGTTCTGAGGGGGGTTGGGGTGTCGACAGGTAAACTGGGAAGGTCTCCACACCTGAGGCTCCCAATTACTCTCAGCATTCCATGGAAGATGAGACAGGTGTGGTCTCTCCACGGGGATTATGATAGAACGCAATGGGAGCCAGTCCCATTGACAGCCTTGTTTTGCTTCTGTAGGTCAGGGGAAGTCACTGTGCTTTGCATCAAGTCCTATGATACACAGGTACACCTGTGGATGTTAATGTAGATAGCTGTCAAGAGCCTTCAGTAGTCTCAAATTTCTTTTGACATACCAAGACAGATTAAGAAGAGAGAGGAGTAAGGATCATATTAGGTGGAAGTGGGAACGACCTTTGCCCTGTGACAGCACTCTTAATTTACCTTAAGCAACGAGGTAATAATCAGAGAGCCTTATTCAGTACAAGGCATGGTATGCCTTAGTGCAGATCTCACTTGGTGGAGGAGGTACATTATGCCCTTACTAGGGCGGGGCATCCTGGAGCAAACTTTGCTGGTCACAGTTTTAGAATAGGGGCCAGAAAGAGTGGCAGACAGCATGATACAGACCTTGGGCTGTTGGAAGAATGCAGCGTACTGCCTCTGCATTCGCACATTGATGGGTCACCTAGATGGGGTATCCAGATCCCTCCCCCAAAGCGATCTCTGAAACTAATGACTACAAGGAGGGAATTTATAGGTCTTTTTATTATAATCTTTTCCTGTTTTCTATTTCAAGTCCCTAATCTCCTATATGTATATATCCTGACATTATGTAATTAACAATAGGGCACTATGTAAATGCATTTCAAAATCTGGAGATGCATTTCTAAATCTGGAGATTTAGGAGTGGAGTTGTAAGGATCCCGGAAAAGGAAAGGTAACTGCAATCCTCGCTTTGGTGGTACAAACAATTCACCTTACTTTAATGCTAGTTCATTTACCAGTCTCAATTGTTATTAAGAAGTCTAACTATTATTAAGCTTGGGGCCTACAGGTTACAGGAGCTCCCCATATTAATCATAACACGGGATCCATACTTCCACAGCCTGAATAGTTAATTAGAGTT